TCTCTCAACTTTGGTGTTTGCATAATTTTAATCTTTAAACTATTTTTAACACTTTTTTCATCCTTAGCTCTTTTTTTTTTATTAACTTTTTGGTATTTAGTAACTATATTATATTTCAGTTAATTCAAAATTAAGTTGCATTGAACCCCGTAAAAAAGAAAATTTCCCAACGAACTATTTATTTTTTCACAAAACCATCATTAGCGCTTAATTCCGCACCTTTTTAGTCATTATGTTAACTCTCCGTTAATTTATCTAAACGTTCGCATGGCAAATTGAAATTGGCAAACAAGGTAGTTTTAAATAATAGTTTTCACAGCAAAGATCACGGGTTGTGTAGATACCATGACCTGCATAAAAATTTCATTTGAAAGCAAGATATGTTTTCTTTACAATCTTTTGAAATGTTTTGCTCCTACTTATCTGAACACCATCTTCCTTTGTAAACTACCGTTTCATGCATATTTTAATCTTTTTATTATTATTTTTGATATTTTAAATGTCAACACGTACTAATGTTTTTACATCTCTTAATAAAAAAGAAAAAAAAAAGTGATAGCAAAATCAACCGAGATGGGCCTCATGGCCCACAAGAAAAATCAAATGTGCCGAAGAGAAATCCAAACAAGTAAAAATAATTCACAAGGAACCTGGCCCAATGTCCGGAGTAACAGGCATGTGCTCTCTGCAAACCGCGAAAATGGGGGTGAATGGTTTTTACACCTCAAAAACCCTGAAATCGAACAAAGGGGACGCCCGGAACTGGAAGCATCAAAGAAAAGGGGTCTTCGTCGGAGTAAGCTGCGAAATTCGGAAAGAAGAATAAGATGTGGGCCGGTGGTTTCGTGAGGAAGAACATGGATTGTGGCGTCGGCATAGCGAGCATTTTCGTTCGGTACATGTCGAGAAGTCGAGCCGTGAACGTCCGGAAAATCAACCCAAAGGTGCCGATTGAAGAAGCTAAATCCATCGCCCATTCTCTCTACGATGTCATTAGGCAACACGGCCCCCTCAGCGTCTCCAATACTTGGATCCACGCCAAGGTTGTTTCTTTGCTCTTGAATTTTTGTTTCATTTTCTGTATTGTCTAATTTTTTTTAGATGAATCAGAATTTAATTGTTTTGGAGTGTATTTTTCTGTATTGTAGATAATGCATGAAGAAGAATTTCGGGGAAAATAACAAACCAAACAAAAATGAAACTTCTGATTACTCTTATTGTCTTTCTTTCAGTGTGTTAAGCTAAATTTGGAGCTAAAAAAGTTTAATCGTGCAGACCAACAGAAAAATGGGTTTCATTTCTTGCTTGCTTTTAATTTTTACTTGTAAGTTTTCCCAAACAGAGGTCAATTTCTCTACCCAATGCATAAGGGTATAGAAGAATCTATTTGCTTCAAATGTGTTTGTGATTTTTCAACCTTATGCAATTAGAATTTAATAATTTGCTTATTGACATTTGTTTGGCAAACTTAAAACATAGATGTTGTCTTGTATTTACCGGTTCGTTTCTTGATATGTAAGTGAATGGGTTAGTGTTTTGACATGGATTCTAATATTTCAAATGTTAGTAGAATGAGAGTCAGATTTATCAGATTACCACATCTTGTTAAATTTACTCCTAGTTTTTCATTTTTAAATTAAATCTGGGAATAAGGTAGGTGATGCAGGAGCCTCTTTGCAAACATTTATGCTCTGTTTTATTTTTGAGTTTACTACATACAAGTGCAAAAACAAAAAAAAAAAGAAAAGAAAACCCATTTGATCCCTTAAATCGTCTATGTGTGGAGATCATGCATTGTGTTCTAACCAATATGAGTCATTTATTCATTTATATGTTAAAACTTATTTTAAGAATATAACTTCACGTTGAGGGCCATTTTACAAGTTCAAAGTATCAACTAGCATTAGTTTCATTGATATTTTGATTTTGTCTTTACTTTTCCAGTCTGCACCTTTTGAAATTAGGGTCTGTAAATCGATTCTGGGGACATGTATTTGGTTCACAATGTTATGGTGATAGAGTGCAAGCCCTTAGTCAATTTGTATATTTGTGTTTGTACTGTGTAGGGGCTTTAGAAAAGAAAAACTGTCAATTTATATGATGGTATCAATCCATTTGTCAATACTGCATACCTAAAATATATAAATGTGTAAAATTCTGGAATCTTTTGCAGTGTTGTACTTTACATAGGTGTTCTGCATTTTCTAGTCATGGTTTTACTTTGCCTCAACTGTCATTGATCAATCTTTCAATATAGTAAGTGCTTTTATTACTTTCCAATGACAGGAAGCTGGTATTAGTGGATTAAACAGCAAAACACACATGAAGATAATGCTAAAATGGATGAGGGGAAGAAAAATGCTGAAGTTGTTGTGCAATCATGTTGGTAACAGTAAGAAATTTTTACACTGTACACTGCCTGAAGAACCCCACCATATTGAGAAATTAAAAGAGCTTAATCTGCATGCTGAGAAGCCT